GGTGAGGCGTGAGAAGGGCATCCAATGCCGATGAGTGCAGGGACGACGACACCTGATAACAGACCTGAAGGAGATCTGTTGTTTCCTTCGTCTCCTTCACTCACCTGACCTATAGGGGCGGCACTAGCTATGACCCGTCGAATAAAGTTCGATGTGGAGCCGTCTGCGAACGCATGTCCACCGAATGAACATGCGACACATTTACCTTACTTTGGTTGGATGTCATTCAGAAAGATGCACATAAGACGCACTGTAGTGGAGCTAAAGTAGCAAAACTCAAGAAGTACTCTAAGTGCCTAATAAGAGTTAGAATTGATACATCCTTTCAGTGGTCATGCTGTCAAAGGGGACCGCCCTTGTCACTGAAGTGGCTTCATTGGCTGCCGTGATGAGAGCAGCTTCTGATTTTCATAAAAATTGGGTCGTAAAATAAACGGGCCTTTCCTTGTCTGATCTTCTTTATTTAGGATTATGAGGCTAATAACAAAGTAGTAAAACAGTCAAAAGTTTTTATCTAAACGGTAGATTACATTATTATTTTGAAAAGCTGCAGTGAAACCGGCAACACTGAATGCTGATAAAACACGCAGATTCGAGATGTGGAGATGTTATTCCACTTTTGAAGGTTTCACATTAAGTTTTATGGGAGCCCTTAAGCCCTTTTAAGGATATCTTCACCTTTATTGGTGATTGTTTGAGTGCCACTACAAAGCCTTCGATATATCCATCCTGAAAATGCCCTACTGAAAAAAATAAAAAGTAGTATGTTGGAAATAATGATAAGGAACAACAATAGGTGATGAACACTGAAGTCTAAAGAACGGAGCTGGAGTGGAATAAAATGGAAATGAGTTACTGTAGAGCCTGACCATACTGGCATAACTGGTGACCTGATTGCGTGGTGAAAGCGTTCTAGTAAATTACTAAACAATGTCAAATAGGTAAGTGATAAGGATAACATTGTAACCCTAAACCTTCCATTGGATCGTCATAATTCCAAACACCATGAGAATGGAACCGACATGCAACGAAACAGAGGTGTCATTAACAAAACATGAAAATTTTGCCTCCAACATCACAGATTGCTGGGTCAATCGACCTTGCTACCTCTCATTAACGTGGATGGTGAATAGCGCAGATTGCAGAAGACGTTCAAACTGGTGCCCATTCTAACCATCACACCTGCTGCTGATGTGGTTGACCCATTCTTCCAAATTCCTCAAGATTGTCAATCCTTATTTTTGCTCCTTATGTACACCTTATACCTTCTGGGAGTGCCGGATTCTATCAAGTTTCTGGATGGTGACAATCTTCGACCTCCGTAAAGCTCCTTTCCAGAATAGTTTTAAAATTTTTAAACTACTGGGTTTTAATGGTTGGTCAGGCATCATCAACAGTTTGCTTGAGGGGAACAAGTCTGAACCATTTAAACCTCTTCCCTTCATAGATAGCCACTAAAGCCCCTGCCGCACCACAATACTGATTTACTTCTACATTTTGACTAACTTTCACTGAAGACACTATACTCCAATGCCGCCGAAGTCATTTGCTTTCCCATTATGTCTCAAGCACATGTTCACATCGAGAAATGACCATGCAATGTGAAAATTCAGGGAACTTGTATGGTCCCGATTCCACGTGGCAGATGTGCGCTGATTCTCATTTATTTCAAAATGTAAACAAATTGAAGTTGAACCAAAATGTTCATTCACAGCATGGGAAGCTTGGAGAGCAGGAGAAAACAGCAGCATCAATGGGCCTACTCTCCTATACTACTAACACTATTATCAGCCACTGCTAAAAGTACTACCACTACCACTGTTACTACTTTTGCATCACAATAGGAGGATATATCCTTTTATATATTCATTATGAGATTCGCTTTTAGTCATCATGGGCAATTTTCACACAAACATGAAGAGCGGCACATTTCAAAACGGATGAAGGCGAAGGCGGAAAACCTCCATCACCTAGCACAAAGCAAACAAAAGACCTGTCTCTAAACCGAACATCCAAATGAGGAATCCTCTTGGTCAGACGTAGCTCAACCAACTGCTTCAGTTAGGCGGCTGCATTCGTAAACCGAAAGGGATAGGATTGTAGTGTAGTTCAACTCCGCCAGCAATCCACCAAGTGGTTAAAGAAAACTTCGCGCTGCGTCTAAAGGTGGGATAAACTTATAATTTCCAAATAAAGCGGAAGAACATTGATGTCAATTCGTTACTGACTCAAAGGCAATCAAAATTTATAGCAAGTCTACAGACATTCTGTACTTCTGTGACGGGCCTCGGATTGTTTCCGCTGGTAGTAAGACCACTGGTAGCAGAAGGAAAGGTGATGGTGGTTAAAAGGGAGGCGTGATTGAAAATCTGCACAGAAAAGGAAACCTGGTCTGTGAAATTCATTATATGCCTAGAATTAATTTGGCGCACCATCACCACAAGTAGCATTAGTCATTTCCAAAAGTTTGGTGAAGGCACCTTTCCGTTTTAACGAGACATTAAAATTAAATGAAAAATGTGTTGCAACCGAAATAATGCATGAAGACTCCCGTTTGAAATTTCCGCAAACTTACTCGCAGTGTTACGATGAGTGGAAAGGAACTTGCCTTCTGACAAGTCGGTAGGTCAGCAAACGAAAATCCGTCGGTTATCGTTGACACCTTCCCACCGCAGTGGTAGTGCGAAACGACCATATCCTTATGGAGCATGAACCAAAGGACGGCGGAAGTGAAGCAAGCCGACAGAGGAACTACCTTCCGCCACATGTCTTACAGCGCCAGCTTAATATTAGTGCTGACCCTCCTACAAGAGGAAGAGTTAAACTCAAACCCAAAGAAATGCATTCGTCTTCAGAGTTTGGTCAGTCTTCAGGCATGCAGCCTCATCAAATGGAATAGCGAGTGAAGACCATTCAGATGGAGATCTGCAGTTCTCTGAGTTTGGCGTTTTGTTGGAGGTTTGACGAGCTACCCTGTCTAAAGCATAGGTTAATCAAAGAACGAGTACGATGAGGCTTCAAAGAGCCAAGGTGGGGTCTCCTTTCCACATCAATCTCAGCGTTACCAACTTCGCACTGATCACCGGCTCTTGTTTTGCAGGTGTGGACGATGTACCCCTAAAATGGGCTGACGAGATATGGAAGCATCAAGGAAATATTTATGACAGTAAACACAATGGAAGTGAGCTATTCACTATCTATGGCAAGATGTAACAGCCATCATTGATGTCAAGAGCTCTCATGGTTGGTGGTTATGAAAGCGATTAATTTCTCAATCATTTACTAATACAGAGATCAGAATATGATTTTACAGTTTAACATGGCAATGCAAAATGCGTTCTCTCGCAAACCAGACTTCATAAAAGTGGGTAATTTGGTACTGGACGAGCTTTATAAACCGAGCTTATGAACACCGCTACAGGAAGAGCACTGCCAGTAGGTAGGCTCCTGCAACAAAATATTGGCAGAAGCAATTACAAAATATACTAGCTTGTTTAAGTGGACTTTTATAGGTAAGAGGCGCAGAACCGATTGGAAACGCGAATCACGTGCGCGAAGATGGTGAGGAGTCTCCCGCCAATTGATATCTCTTGTTCGGCTCATCTGCATCCCATTTCCCATTCTTCCTCTGACAAATGTCTAATAATTCATCCGCAACCAATTCGCTCTTGAAGTCTGAGAGTCTATATCGTCAAGAAGCCGTCGGATAAATCAAGAGTCTAGTGATACTAATAAAAATGCAGAATACCTCGAGCCGGTATTGGAGGTCTTTGCTGATTTTAACTGTATCAAATTTCTGTCATTTGTCCCTTACACTGTGGCAGTTGCATCACACCAATCACCGTATATTGTTTCAACGGAATAAGGCGGATACAGATACCATGGTCTCTTTAACGCCGAAAATAGTATATTTTAATTATGATAAGACAATTACATTAGGCTTCTCAGACAAATTTTAAAGCGAATTGGGATTAACTTTGATAGGTAGCATCGAATTCTATCTACACTCTGGACCTTACTGCTAAGTATTGTTAGAAGTCTTACATGTGTGGCCAATTCATGCGTTTACAAGAAACTTATCTAGAATGGAAGACAACAAAGAAATAAACGCGCATCTATCTATATTCTTGGAGGTCTTACATTGCACCAAAATTTAACCCTAAGCCCTCCCTACAAAGCATATTTTAAGAAACTCAAAAATGTAACAACTGTCTTTTTGATCGACTTCTGATGTGTTATTAAACCTCTCTTAGCTAAAATTTCCCATTTTTTCATTTTTTAGATCTTGTGTATAGCATTGTCGCAATGCCACAATGACTTAGCTTAACAGTCAATCCATCTTTGAATGCACTCGCCCATGTCAGAGGTAAAGTTTAATTCTGTGCATTTAGTTTTGTCCTAGAAACCTTCAATTAAAATTTAGTTTTTATTGTTATCAAGGATGATAAGTGACGGTTCCTTCATACTTTGGTTTGGAGCCGGTGTGCTGCAGTTTTGTTTAAGTTTGCTGGAAGGCAGTGTGGGCTCTCGAAGGTGGTGCTGATAAGTTCTCTGCGACATAAGCTAATGACGAGCCAGTGGTCACTAGGGTTTTGACTGTCGGAACTAGTAACCTTTGGTACGTATGATGGCATTGATGTAGGTGCACGCCATTCTTTGCTGGTTACAGCCTTAGTCACTACAAGCTCCGACTAACACCGAGATGGGCTGTCGATTCTTCCTTATGTTCATGCTTCTTATTTCATATCTTTGCGTCGTCTTTTTTGTTCGTTTGGTTGATTGGCTCTGTATCTATTTAGCTTGGCGATTTCGCTCTGCAATTCTCTTTTAACATTTAGTACGTGAACATAGCATAGATTTACTTACTGTACTATAGGGTGATGCTTAACAATGTTCGCTTGCCAGCGTTTTAATGGTAGAATTCGAAGATCTTGGATCCACTATTATGGGATGTGATTTTCCTCTGCACTTTACATTTTTCTTTATTGACAGTGGGAAAGATGTACTCAGCAATATGTCATCACTATTTGGCAGGATACTGTCGTAATGGTGATGATTGCATTTTTATCCATGCTGATCCTGCCTACAAGCCTCGTTCTCCCTACACCTACTCAGCTCCACACTATGAGAGGTTAGTAAGAGCACTGATTTTGTTTTATTAAGGGTGCTTACATTTGGTGCAATCAACTAGTTTCATACACTAATTACCGACTTCGAAATTCGAATTAATCTATTTTTTGTATTTTTGTTCAAAGTTAATTAAAATACACCATCTTCGCTGATTTTTGTGCTGCAGTGTTGCTTTCGGAATATGAATGAACTGCTTGCTTGGAATGCTTCTTAGCTCTTTGATGTAATTCTTGGATAAATGTGATGCTTCGGGTCACTAGGTAATGGTAACAGTGCATGAACGCGTTATGGTTCTACTTCCAGGAGTTTTCTACGAAACTTTGGATCTCCACGAGTGTGTCGGTTTTACCAAATGGGATACTGTGCTTACGGGGCAGGCTGTGAATTCCTTCATCCGCGTGATAAAGGTATGCCTTTTTCCATCAAAATGTGTTGCGTACATTGTGCATTGAAGGTAGTGAATCGAGGAACTCCTTCATCCTAAAGATTTTTATACCAGGTCATTTTTAGTCCTAATTTGGAAAATTAAGCCTCCTTGTCGGTGAACCTCTCCCCATGAATTCACCAGCATTTAGGTAGAAAACTGCAGTAACAACCGCAATATCTGAAAATAGCTAAGTCATCGAAAAGCCTCCCACCTGTTTCTAACATCCTTTTTGCCTACAGGCATACCATTGCTTACTTCAATAAGGCGGTGAAATTCACTTTTAGAACAGGGCATGCGTTCGAAAACTCTTTGGAGTCGAAATTCTAAGCTTCAATTTGTATAGTACTTATGAACAGATAATGAAGTGCATTGATTTTAGCACTGAACACTTCGCAACAGCCACCAAGGGATCCCAACATCCAACGACAGGTACCTACAAGTAAATCCGATCGGTTCCATTATCGGAAAACGGTGGATGCTGAGCCTACCCCCACGACATTCTCATTCAAGAAGACCTTGGAATCCTTACTACTGCGGGATACCGCATCTGCTGCATTTGCGAAGCGAGAAGACTTTGGCTATAAGAGAGAGGAGGTGTTCTCTGCAAAGGAAAATCTCTCAGATGAGGACTTGAAGATCTATTCTGAGACGGGGGAGTCTGGTTTCTCCTCCATTCCCCTTCTTCCTCCGCCTGAGGATCTATGTCAGTCTTGAGGTGTAACAAATGTGCGAATAACGGCACGGGTGTTTCTTCGGTGTATTTCTGTAGCCTCTTCTATGGAGTTGGGTGTGCGTTACTGGGGGCTGGGTGGTGGGTCCGTTCTGTTGGGTTGTAGTCCATGTTGTTAGGACGTGCATCTCGAAGAAGGTGTCAACGGGCTAAGGAGTTATGGTGGATGCCTCCTTCAAACTTAAGTAAGAGCACGTGTTACGTGATTAATAAAAACAAAATAAAATAATGTATATAATAAGGGCTGAGTAAACGGCCTTGCAAACATTAACATTATGTATTATATGCGGATTTAAATATTTTATTTAGTTAATCCCTTTACATTGGTGCGCCTTTCAAAATAGAACGAGCGAATCCGCAGGTGAGTTAGTCGGTGGTTTGTGATTTCTCACCTCATTTGTTGCTATTTTTTGAGAGTCTTGGGAACGTTTATATGTAGTTTACATGCTTTATGAGAGCAAAGATTCCATTGGACAAATATTTCATCTGGCTTTTAATGACTAGTTGTTACTGATTTCGTACTTGTTTATCATGGTCTTAGATCCCGGTGTTGATGGACTTCTTCTTTCAGAATGTTCCTCAAATCGTTCAGGCGATCTTTTTTAACGATAAGTCTATACTTGAATGTTCGCCCAACGTAGATGACATCAATTACAAGGTATGTTCATGTGTCATTGTGAATAATCGGCTTGTTTCATTTTCGTGCATGATTCCCTCACCATTTTAAGGATTCACAGTTGAGAACTCCATTACATGCTGCAGCGCACGTTGGGGATATGGACTTCGTCGAATTTTTGCTGTCCAACAATGCACGTGTCAATGTAAAGGACATGAAGTGGTACACCCCTCTCCATCATGCGTGTGCTTCGGATGCGCCCTCAGTAGTGCAGGTGCAGTTGCGGCATTTGTGCTTTTCTCTAAAAGCAACAATTTTCAGGTCCCGAGTGCAACATATTTGCGAGTGCAAACAATTATAAGATCCGTGGGCATGTATCTCTTATCATGAGCGCAGGAAACTTTCGTTCTCTTGACGTGCTATCGATTTTCATCAATTGTTGGACCTTTTGTTTCCGTCAGAATGTATTTCCTCGTCGAATCATTTGATCGAAAGATCTATTTCTTACTATCACTCGTATTCGTCATATACTCATAAGGTAGTGCTAAACCAACCAGAAGCGGACTCCGCGATCTCTTGGACAATATTCATGAAGGGCGCTGCCTAACTTGCATCTCTTCGTAGCTCTTGCTGGAAAACGGTGCGGATAGGAATATGCGGGAGAAAGGTTGGCTCACTCCTCTACACGTTGCTGCCTACAATGGTAGCTTGGAGTGTGCACGTCTCTTGCTCTTTTATAACACTGAAGACGGTGAATGTGGCACAAATGTAAATGCTTCTGATCGTGGCGGTCACACACCTTTGCACCATGCGGTTTATGGGGGACATTTGGATGTAAGACTTGTCTTTTAGTATACTTATGTTTTGGGCTTTTCATAAGCACTCACATGTACTTGCGAAACTCTAGATGGTTCGTCTGCTCCTCACGAACGGTGCCTCTGTGAATGCCTTTGACAAGAACGATCGGCGCGCTATCCATTGGGCGGCTGCTTGCGATTACCCTAGTGTGAGCTCAACCTTTTGTAGCATACAAAGATCCGTCAACCTATCCGTTTGCAGATGCTCAAAAGCTAGTGTTCTTCAGTCTCTAGACAACATGCTTTAAAGAAATTAGACAACCTCGTCCTCAGTGATACGCGATTTTTTACCATAACCTTCATGTGCGGATTCTGTCAAATTAATGTGAAACAACAAGTGGTGAAGTTCTCACGGTGTTTTATCCATTTCATTGACAGATCATAGAGCTACTATGCGAATTTGGCGCTGAAGTAAATTGTCGCGACAAAAACTTGTACACTCCTTTGCATGTTGCTGCAGCTCTGGGGCACGTAAACGTGGCTAAGCAATTGGTGGACCGCGGGGCAGAGCTTGATGCTGTTACCGCAAGGGTGAGTCAAACACTGAGGGGAGTTCGAGCAACCAGAGTGGTTTTTATTACGAACACCGTTCTTCGCTAGAGCACCAATTGGAAAACGTCTAAAGGGTTGATTACTACTATAGATAGCATTAGAAGTGAGACAGTCACATAATAAATGAATCCAGTCGCTTTGAGATGTCCCTATACAGTATTCCTTCCAGCTCGGCTTTTGATACCAGGTACTGGAAGTCTGAGGCAAGTAGTGGTCGTTAATTTCGCATGTACTTGTTGTCATGACTACCGACTTAACACTTTTGAATTGTTTCAGGGAAATTCTGCGTTGCACACGGCATGTCTGAACGGGAGTAGTGAAGCTGTAGTAGCGATCTTGGACGTGCTGTCGAAGCGCGAAGACGCTGAAACTGCACTAAGGAAGGCATTGAATGAATGTAACAGTGATGGCTACACTCCGCTTCATCTCTCAGTCATAAATCCGGAGGGTTGCGGGTGCTTACAAGAATTGATATCTTTCTCCACTATTTTTGATGAGAATGCTCAGGCAGGTTCCTCAGTGTCTGAAGTGCCAACACCATGGACACCTTTATTGAATTTAGAGGACCCTGGAGGTTATAACTCTTGGACTCCACTGCATTTGGCTGCGGTATATGGCAGGTAAATTGGGGAAATTCAAAATGATTTATTATACTAGTAAACTTTGATTCTCGTAGGCACCATATTTTGGTGTAAGCATTATATTAAAAATAGGAGTAGTCTGGGAGGGACAAGCGTTTGGAACTCCTAATGAAATTAAAATTGTTTTCAAGGATTGGAATCAATATAACAATAGTAAGAATAATTTTGATCCCTGAGAACTCACTTCAAGCCAAATCGGTAGAGACCGTATTCCTCCTTAAGCATTTCACATCACGAAATCTTGCTGATTTGTTTATGAGACCCCAGTGCACAATAAGCGCTCTTCCTCATCGTTTCGTAAGGGTAATAAAATGGCTAGGAGCTCATTGCTTTACACCTATTGCACCTTGAATATACCTACCTAGGCTCACAAACCCTGACTATTTCTTTGGATTAAGAAGACTTTATCCGCAACCATCTTTACTATCAATTTTTAAGTTTCCAATTTGTTAGGCTACTCAGAGGCACCCTGGTAACTTAGTGTCTTCCTCTCTATTCATGCAGCCGATTGGGGATCTGTGAAGCTGTTCTGGATTGCTCAGACAATCCATTTATGATGCTGGCTGCCATACGTAAAGGTCCCAGTCCCTGAAACATCGAAATCACGATTGTTGTGCTTATGAAGAGTCAACTTGGTGGAAATCACTGGTATTTTTTCACCCTATTTTTCTCTAATCTCAGCCTGGGAGGATTTTGAGAATGAATTGATGACCATGGCGATGTTCTCCCGTCTTTCAAATGTTTATGAACGGTTATGCATAAAGCTGCATGCCTTGTGTGAACTAGTAGATTACAGGTGCAGAATATTTGCGACGCCGGATGGATGGTGTATTGTGGGCTATAGGCCAGGAAAGATGAGCTTCACATCACTGAATAGTGGCATTGTGTAATGTGCTGTGCTTGAGGTGTTGTATACAAGAGTGGCTATCATCGTTGGCAATGGAACTGTTCGCTTTCGTAAGGAAGTCATTTGTTTTTCACATCGGGCTGATTATTAAAGTGCTTCTACACTCGCTTCACGTTCCGTCACAATGGGCATTTTCTACCATTTGAATTACTGCCCCAAGAACTGAGCAAAGATTTGTGTGCATGGTGCCTATGTGAAACGTACTTGTTAAATCATACTGAGTAGTACGTGGAAATGCGAGAAAGTGAAGTTTGCGCGGTTATTCCTACTGTATGAAGGCAACGTCTGTTCGAAGCACAATGTTCTTTTTCCAAATTAAACCTTTTGTGAAGGATTGAGGATCCGTATTGTTGATTTTGTGTAGAAACAAACAGGCTGAGATACTGTTGAGAATGCAGGTCGATTTGCAGCCTCAGGACAGACACGGAAACACTCCACTCCACCTGGCTGCCGGCAGGGGTCATGAGTTGGTACTCAACATCCTTCTCGCCGCTGGCGCTCCATGGCAGGCAGTTGGTAACGCTGGTGCTACCCCTTTGCACTGCGCCGCCGCCTCTGGCTACTCCTCGTGTCTCAATCGGTGAGTTATAGCCACTTCATTCCTGTCCACCTTCTCACTGACTCCAAATCAAATACCATTAGCATTGCTCAATTTTTTACATCTTTCATCAATGCATCCCTTAATAGGATTTTCATTTACAATTCATAGCGTGCTTCCGCATTTATGCTACCACGAAAATTTAGTTGAGCACATTTATGTCCTATCTGCGATCATCAAATTTAATACTTTCACCTCCACCTTGAAACCATGCAGAGCTTTATTGATTTCAGACTGGATTTACTTATTGCTTTCTCGGCATTTGCGGTATGGTTGAAGCAGTGGGATAGTGTAATTATGGGGCACCAAGGCGTTGTGAAATGAGTAGACTAAGGTCACCAAATTATCAGCGACCTCCTTTGGTTTGCTTAGAAGTTGAATCATTCATGTCTTCTAGAACGTCGTTATATGCCAATTTTTGCATGCTCCATTGATGATTTTCATTTGTCGAGCTCTAAAGTACCGATACTACATTTTAAGAGTTGCGTTGACTTTGGTGAGCTAGCAGTAGAATATCGGCAGGATCCCGAGGTTGCTAGAGGAAAATTGACTTTAGGCAGTAAGTTCTTTTCAGAGCATCGCGACTCACTGTTGGCTTTTTAGAGTTGTCTTTTGTGGGATTTGATTTCTCCTTTGATAACCAAAACTTTTGGGCCCG